CAATGTAACTCAGAAAAGACACAGCAAGAAGCTCCATAGTTTAAAAACATTTAGACCCCGTTCACATTGATCGATTTATCGCGCGGTAATTCCCGCGATATCGCGGCAAATTATTGCGCTCCAATGCAATCCAATGGGGCAAAGGGTCCTGCTGTCGCGGGTCGTGTGTCGCTACAGCAGGACCCTTTTTGGAGCGGATTTAGCCGCGATTCAAGCTTGCTCAATGCAAGCTTGAACGCGACATCGCGCGGCAAATCTCGCGATGTCGCGCAATATGCAAATCGCGCGACAAACGCGCGATTTGCATATCGCGCAGTGGGAACGGGGCCTTAGCAAACTTTATTGAAAACGGTTTAAAGAACTTACATAAAAAGTGCTCAGTCAGACCGAATACAGGGCTTGAGATACACTATGTAACCAAATATCCCGTACTTCCTGGTACGTGATGACATCAGCGTGCAGACGCTCACTCGACGCGTTTTGTCATAGACTTTTTCAAGGGATAGCATACCTAGTTGACTGCTAGTCTAATTTACTGGTAGCTCGGAAAGCAGGCAATAGACAAGGCAGTGGCAGTGAGTCGGCAAAATTGGCTGGACCACAGGATTTCATGCATTACCTTACAAATCTGTTGGCAGATAAAACACTCCCCTTATATGTGTGTCAACGGTGTATTTAAATGTGCGCATGGATATGTACTATCTAACCAAATTGTAAAGATACAGAATGTCACTTATCTTTTTGGTTAAACGTGAATGATTTTATGTTAAAGTGACACTAAACTCAGGAGTTAAATGTTAAAAATACATTCAGGCATCTTAACTATTAACACAAATGTATCTTATTTGTGTATCACTCGGCTGTAGATCCTCAAATCATCTCTGAATTGGTGCTGACACTGTCCTTCCTTCTGGAGGGTGGCTACTTTTGTTCCCCATGGTCCCTGTGTGTGTTGTAAAGTAGCCATCGCACCAAGCTCACTCCTGTGATGGACTACAATCTCAATACAAATTAGTAAACTAAACCTGAGATTATAGTCCATCACGGGACAGGGCTTGGTTTGGTAACTACTTTACAACACACACAGGGACCATGGGGAACAAAAGTAGCCACCCTCCAGAAGGAAGGACAGTGTCAGCACCAATTCAGAGATGATTTGAGGATCTACAGCCGAGTGATACACAAATAAGAAACATTTTTGTTAATATTTAAGGTACTTGAATGTATTTTTAACATTTAACTCCTGAGCTGAGTGTCACTTTAAACCAGTGCTTTTTGTTATGACCTAACATGCCGCCCTGATGCCAAATACACAGTGAGCTTAGACCAGTCTCCAATGTTTGTAAACCAGTCACTAAAATTCCCAAATATTTACTTCTATACTAAACGAAACCATGTTTAACTAAAGAACTATTTTTTTTTGTCCTGTTTCTGAAGTCAAGACATTCGCCATCTGCAGCGCTGGTTTAAAAATGACAGTGAGTGTAAAGAACTCTGAAGTTGTTTCTTACTGCTCTAGAATGTGTATAAGCAGTACAGCACATATTCTCATAAACAGGACTTCTCATAGGACAGAACCTCTTTAGAACACAGTGCATTTCCGACGACCTCTGCCAAGAACCTTCAATAGATCACCCAACCTTGTGTACTAAGCATATAATATTGTGATGCGGCACGGGTGCAATAAATATGCCTGTGTGTTGCCCTGCAGCCTATAAAGCACATTGCACTATTAATCCTGCTGACAGTGAACATGCGACAGAGGCAAGTTCATAAAGCAAATTGGAAGCACAATTTCTAGAGCGTTCTAAAAGCATGGTTTATTTTCCCTGTGTTTCCCCGTATGCTCTACCATATTTTTTCTATTACAAATAAACCTTTCTGTTATATTAAAGACGAATAACTATGGTGGTTTCTATTAGAGGTTTTCTTTTCTTATAAGTTGTGGTATTTTTCTGTGCAAGTACAAAATGTCCTTGTGACAGAGTCATTGGCATATGAATTCCACTTTGCCAGAGCCTTGCATCAAACCGTATGCTTCATATATTACAGCAGGGGAAGCTTGCAGCAGTGAATTACATGAAATATAGTCTCTGCTTCCACTTAAAGGGAAAATATTGCATCTATACAATGAGCACAATTTTGATTTTAATCGCTTTCCCTGCTGCTTGATATGATACAATCTTGATGTCTCAAGATTACATATACCATCATTCATTGCTTCCAGCAAGCTATGATGATGTTACTGTAGCCACCTTGCCCCCAGTGGGATGACTCCTTAACCCCTTCGCGTCCACTGACATAGTGAAGGGAATTGATCAAAACTGGAGCAGACAAAATTTGAAGCAGCAGGGCATGGCAACCAATCAGCTTCTCTCTTTCATTTTCTAATCTTACCTGAACAAACTGAAGAGAGAAGCCGATTAGATGCCCGGCACAGCTGCTCCAGTTTTTGTCTGCTCCAGTTTTGATAAATTCCCCCCTGTTTGTCGTTGGCAGCGGGCCCATTTTAAACAGGCTAAAGCCACTGGGACTCTGTTTACAATTGTAAAGCCGGCTGTCAGCTTTACAATAGAAGCGATTCTGGCGGCTCAGTTGCCGCCTATCACAATCAAGCGGGTTGATGGGAAATGGACTGCAGCTTCGGAACTGTTGAGTAGGCTGTATGGGATTGGGTCAGTCAGGCGACTTCCTACATCATGTATCCCAGCCTAGACTTGAGGGAAGTTAATTTTAGTGTGAACGGGGTCTGATGGGACTGTAGCATGAAACAGCTCGGGATTCTACAGGGTTATATAACTGCAGACACTACCACAGCTGCTGGGCTCACTATAGCTAATAGCAATTCCAGGCAATAGTTCAACAGTATGGATTAATGCAATTATATATCATAGTCATGATATGTTTCAGCAATATGAATTGATGCAGGTATCTAGCTTAGACAATATGAATTGATGCAGGTATCTAGTTTAGACAATATGAATTGATGCAGGTATTTAGTTTAGACAGGCAATCCTCCAGCAGTAGGAATTGATGCAGATATTTAGCTTAGACAGGTAATACTACAGCAGTATAGGTTCAGGCAACTGAACATGTAGTCCCATGTAGAGCCAGGGCCCTGATACTTGCGGTTAAGGTGTCAACCCCGTGAAGATGTCTTTCCTTGCAAAGGCTGAGAGGCACTGTAGTGAGGAGCTGTGTCCGAGTGCACTGCAGGCTGAGCAGCGTGTGGGAGCCGGACTGGTTGAGTGGAGACAGTGGAGGCAATCGCTCAACATTCCACATTGACTGAACGCCGAATGATTGCCTTCACTGGGTTTATAAGACCCACGCCGAGCCCAGGGGGCGGATCCCCGTGTGACGTCACGGCCGGAGCGGCGCCGGAGTGGCCGGGGGTGCCGAGGACGAGCCTGACACCGCCAGATCACTTCTACAGGCCGGTAAAGTGCCCGCACCCCCCTGCTGTTTTTCCTGGGCCCCGATGCACCACCTGCGGGCCCGGGACCGGCAAGTCAGGTGTCGGTGGGAAGCTGGGAAGGAGAGCAGCAAACTTCCGTTCTCCAATTTCCTCCACACTCTATGGGACCGGGAACGATAAGTATTCAATCACTTCCCTGAGCTGTCATTGCTCAGCAACTGAAGCCGAGCAATAAGCTGTTGAAGTGTGATCTGCACTTCAATATCTTATTTAAAGTGGAAAGGTGACACTAGTGGTCTTTTGGACTACTAGTGTCACCTTAAAGAGGACCTGTCAACACCAATATGCTATCACATAGGAGGCTTGTAAGCCCATCCTGCCCATATTCCCGCATCTACCTAGAGCGAGGACGGCTGGACGCCATATAAGGTGATTTAATGCAGTTTGAAGTCCAGCCATCCTTCCCCCCATCTCTCTTAATGGAAACTCTGTGCCTCAGTAAGGAGCTCTGCCAGTTTGAAAATGTGCAGAAGCCGAGCTCTGCAGCTGTGATCGAGTGATCACAATTCCAATGCTTTCCAGGCAAATATTAAAGAAATGCACATTTTTTATATATATTATTAATTATGCATTTCTTTATTTTTTGCAAAAGGCGAACTTATCCTTTAATTAAAAAAAATATTTGGGTAGAGCTTTTTGACAAAAGATACTTTGCATGTCCCCCAACAAGAGCGATACCACTAATTTAATCAAGACTGAGGGTTCTTGATTGAAGTACTGAGTCGATGTACAGCACCCTGCCATCCCTCCCACCAGCCATGATATGCCTGATTAGCTTAGTGAAGCACAGAGACCAGCTGATGATGTAGCTAGATCTAAAATAAGGTATGTGAAGAAAACTGAAATAATTATTTAAAAATATTATTAGCATGTTGATAAGGGTGCAGAAGATGGAACCAGAGAAGGCAGAATATAAGAAAATGAAACTTTAAAGCTTTTAAATCTGACAAACTAACCAAGATGCATTATGGAAGGCACAAATCACTTTCTTGTTATTTATTGGTAATAGGCGGGGAGGAGAAACAAGAACCAGACTTCTTAACTGATCAGTATTGATCACTCATTGCATAAGCAATATGATGTTCAACTCCCTAAAAGTCAATTTGCACAAACTCAATAAAACCCAAAGCACAACAGTAAAATGTGGCTCTGGCTGTAGATAAAGAAATGTTTCTTGTTTTCACAGGGCTGGCCACATCTTCACATCTACATCAATACCAGAGCAGAAAATCGTTTGCTGAGCTAGCCGTGGGATTGTTGAGCCTTACTCCCTGTTCAGCACATTCAGGATTGTGTGTTCCCTCAGCCCAGACAGCATTATGCCCTGAAACGCTAAACATTGCATTGTAAGTCTTGTATCCGTTTGTCTGTGTCTGTTTTTCACACAATGTACATATAATATAAAATTACCTTTTTGCCCCAATACATTTTAGAGGTTGGATTGGTAAACATAATTTATAACCTAACGATAAAGTATAATTCCAGGCAAATATAAAACAAATAGCTATGAACTGACTGCTACCCTCCTCCCCCTCTTTAGCGACCCTGACGGAGCTCCTCCACAAATTGATGGCACTAGATACGTTAGAGGCCCAGTTTACTCATGCTCACACTAACAAATGTTTTACCACTTGGTCCTCGTTTCTTTTGACTGAGCTATTCCCTGGGCAGCTGAAAGAGTTGATGCTATTGTTCCAATATACCGAGTGGTACCTTAGGTCAAAGGTGGCAGGATTGTTAGGTGCCTTAGATGTTCTTTAAGACCTCATGATGTGATTCACCCTTTGCACGTTTTGTGGCGTATTCACGTAGTCCCCGATTCCAAAGTATTCTAATGTATACTATAAGTATGCAATATATTTCACCCATAATCAACATTGGGGAGCTGGTACCCCTCCTGTCAATCCAAATGTGATGGTTTCTGGTTAGATGACATTCTCTGATGTATGGCTAATGTGTTTGGGTTTTTTTCTTCCTATTATTACGCTTTACACTGATATACAACTGTTTGATATCCGTATGACGGGTTTGTACTCGTAAATAAAAATTATATGCAAAAAATAACAAATAGCTAGTCTTGTAATCAGCACACCCCTGCCAGACAGCACAGCAGGCCCTTTACTCCCTGTATCCTCTCTACTGATTTTACTGCAGTTATGCAATACAGTAACAGCAGCACACTGGTGAGGGCATCAGTTTGCTCTCTACTTCTGTCAGTATTAGATGGACTTTTTATGCAAAGCAAGATTGCCTGATTGGCCGACAGTGCAGTTCTGCCCCCACCTAGTCTACTGTGTGCAACTGCACATAAGAGGTTGATTTACTAATGACAAATCAGCTGTTTACTTTGCAAGGGAATTTGCACTTTGCAGAGAAAGTTTCTCATAAAGGTGCCCATACACATTACAACCATCGCAAGACTTTTGTCTTGCGATGGTTGTAAGCTAATTAAAAGCTTGTACGATCTGCCCATCTTGGACAGGCAGATGGTACTTGCGATCATCGCAAGCCCGCCCCTCTGAGGGGTGGGCTTACGATGACTGCAATGATGGGGCGGGCTTACGATGACTGCAAACGGGCTGTGTGCGCATGCGCACATCGGCCCGTTCGGTAGTTGTCGAACCAGCAGGCCACTAACTCGCC